TGGAGATTCCCTTGTGTACTCTGATATTCGACTAATCCTCTGCGACCACGCCCTATCCGACCACTCACGGTGGTTCGTATCTATCGACCACGTCTGATCTATGTTGTCTGCTCTCTGCTCCTTTATTGCTAGCACCTGGTCTTGCTCGACCAGGTCACTCGATCTTTCCTTACTCAGGTAATCCGACGGTCCAACCTATTTTCTCCGGTTGCCCCGGCAAACCAGTCTAGTATACAATATCCCATATCATCTAGTCCCCCCACTCTGGTCGAGTCTGAATGACTCGTCCTAAGAGTAGGCTTCGGTTTTTGTCGAGGAGGGTTTTACATCTTCGTTTTCGACCAGATAGCCCGTTTCTTTTTTTGTGTATTTATTTCCTTTTCTAGCCACCACTTTATGTATTTTTGCATTTCAAATTGTACCACTTGTCTGCCTTTTTCGTCGCGTCCTTTCATCTGCCAGGGCCCATCATTACCTCGTGTCCCGCGCTCCCTCGTATCTTATGCTACTTTAAGATCTTCATTCCCGTTGGCCACCAGATCCACTACGTTAATCCACCCTCTCACCTGTCTCCATCTCCACCCTTGAAACTTCGCGATCCGACGGCTAGTTTTTCTCCTCATTTGCCTATTTCCCCTATAAATACTGCTACTTAGACAAATTTTTCTTTTTCCTACTTCTGCCTCCTCGCATAATACCAAGCTTCTCTGCAACTTGTGCTTTCCTGCAACTTCGCGGTTCTCAATCTTTCAGTCGACAGAACATCATTCACCATGAGTAGGTCTTCTTTAACCTTCTATTTATGTTTATCAGCTTTTTAATTTTTGCGTCCACCCTCTTCTCCTCGAATTTTTGGTTTTACCTTTCTCTCCCCTCTCTTTTCCCCTCGCGCCTTGTTCCTCCAATTTCTGTTCTCCCACTATGCCGTATTTTTCCACTTCTTCTTCTTCTCTTTTGTTTTCTTATTAATTAAAATTTTTCTTCTTTTTCTTTTCTTCCCCCTTTTTTCAGATTCCGCTACTTCGAGCGAAAATGATCGGCACAGTGACAAGGACCTGACCTCTCCTTCCTCCTCCGCAACTCTCAGTTTATCGAGCGATTCAGTGCAAGAAATTCTTCAGCCTGAGCCAATTTTCGTCCTTCCCCCTGCGACAACCAGCGACAGCCCTACAGCCACTGCTCTCTCTCCCTCCACCTATCTTGTCGACCAGCCTGAAGACGAGGTCACCAGCCGCCCTCCTTCTCCTCCCGCCAAGCGTACTCATCGAGCTATCGGACAGGATGACGAGATTGAAGACGAGGATGATCCTCAAGACCATGTCCCGCTGTCTACTCGCGTTCCCGTTTCTTCGACTATGCCCTCTCACTCCCCTCATCCTAAGCCATCCAAATGGTCCAAGCCCTCTAAACCGTCTACGAGCGCTTCCCGTCTCGACTTTGATGCAATTGGCCATCCTGGGGCCGCTCGCACTCCTGATGACGATGATACCTTCGATAACCCTCCTGAGGGCTATTACACTTTCTTCCGTGCCCATTTCGACCTAGGCCTCCGTTTCTCCATCTGCCCGGCCTTGCTCGACCTGTGCGGCCTATATGGCCTGCCTCTCAACCAAATCACTCCCAACGCTTTTAGGACATTAGCGTCCTTTATTATTTTGTCCATAGTCCGCATGGGTAGAGTAGATTTAGACTTTTTTGTATACTGCTACTTTGCTTCCAAACAGTCAGACGGCCTCTATTTGAAAAGCCGGAATAAAGCCTGTTTTATTACTGATCGACCATCCAATGTGCCGAGGTGGAAAGACCAGTTTGTGTATATACGCCCCCCGCAGCCTTACCCTTGGGCACTCATCCCTTGGCTCAGCGAGGTGCCCATAACACTTACTCGCCCTACTGCTAACCCACTTTTCGACCGACGCATACAAGTGTGGAACTCCAATCCCGTTGCCTCTACTCCTTTGCTCGAAAATGATAACCTCCTCCACTATTGTGGAATTTTGACTCATAAGGCGTTTTCACCTCCTCTCGCTGAGACCATTCTCTAAATTCGTGTCGACCCTAAACTTGCTGACGTTAATAAGACGGCCCGGGAAGGTGCTCGAGCCATCCTTGTTATGTGCTTTGAATTTATAATCTTATGCTCTTGATTAACTCTTTTGGGCTTGCGGTTTGTTGGTGCAGAGGGATTTTTGCATAAACCGGACTTGAAGAAATCTGGTGATAGGAGGTCTGTTCATAGGGACACTCCAGCCAATGTCGAGAAGGCCAAGGGCCAATCTTCGACCAAAGATGTGACCGCTCGTGTGGAGAAATCCGGTGTCGGTGCTTCTTCTCATTCGAGCAAACAACGGGCTCCTTCTCCTCCTCCCAAGCAAGTCGAGCGCCATCCCCCCCACTCGACAAAAGAGGGCGACGCCTCCAAGAAACGTCCTCGAACCGAGGTGACTGGTGTTGGTGTTATATACTTAAGCTTTGCTTTAGTGGATATTACACTTGTTAT